GTTATTGCCCCACCTGAAGCCAAATGAGCAAACAATTAGTCCCTACACATATTATAGCACCAGTCAAGTAATTAATGTCTAGTTTCAACAAAATTTTAAAGAATAAGGAAAATTCATTTTCTTAAAGTTCTTTTCACTTTATTTCCAAGTACAGGAAAAATGTTAAAACTAGTGTGCGTGACTTTTTTCTGTATATTATATAGTAATGGTTGGAATGATATAAAAGCAGATAAAAAAAGAATTAAAAGAAAATACTTAAGCTATCTAATATCAACTAAAATCCCATTATGTTGATAATTATTTCACAAAAATTCAAAATCTAAATATTAATTACAATAAAATTTTATTTACTGAAATTAAGATCCAATAACAAAACCAACTGAAACTACTTTTCAAAACCATCGACGTCCAATCATGCAATTTAGATAAGTCCATCTAACTTCATTCTGCCAGTAATATATGCCACACTTCTTACCTTTACCACATTTCTAGAACATGCTTCATTACAACACAAAAAAATAAAACAGTAAAATCAATGACGACAATGATCATGGTGATGATGTTGATGTCATTTATAGTATTGTTGCTAATATTTCACCACCACCCTGAATGTGTTCTTACTGCACTAGTTTTAATATTCAGGCAGGCATGTGTTCTTTTTCAAACATCATATATATTTAATGCGATTTTTTGTGACTTTTTTTACAATGGTGAAAAAAGGTGATAGTATCTGCAATGTGAAAAAAGGAACTGTTTTCATGATTTCAACATTCTCATCTTATTATTTTTTCCATAGAGTCATACAAATACATTTGTAATTTTAATCTGAAAATAAAATCTGGTCAGAAATTAGATATAAAGGTGTGATAATTACAGGACTAAGATAAATTAGTGATGTTTACCTGTCACACAAACCAATCAATGATAACTACATGACTATGATTAATTAGTAATGGGGATTGTATACCTGTCTAGCATGTACCTAACCATTCTGACTCTTTGTGTAAGTTAGGAACCCTAGTCTTCAATTAAAGCCTAGTCAATATGATATGCATTCATGTATCTTTTAGCCTGAAAGCAACCCTAAACCTGCTGTGAATCCCATACATTCTACTTGAACTAGTCAATCAAACAATACCAATGCACTAACAAAGACATTTCTATGCCTGGCAACAAACAAAAGTAGTGGAAGCAGCAGCAAATGAAAGGATTGTGGTTTTATTTTTAAGACAATGATGTTGCTAGCAAAATATATAGTCATCTACTGATCCTTCATTTTCATAGGGTTTGGCTGCAAAATTGATTACCAGTCATCAAGTATTGGCCTTTCATAAAAATTGATTACCAGTCAACAAGTATTGGCCTTTCATAAAAATTGATTACCAGACAACCAGTATTGGCCTTTCATAAAAGACTTTCCATTTTGTGGGAATCATTTTGATACCAAGGGCCAATTTACATGTTTGTCATATAAGGGAATTGAAATCAGCATAATCAAAGCATTGGAATGTTTCTGACATTCTGAGTTAAAAAAATCATGAAGTATATAAAGCATATACCCATAACAACCATGTAGATTTAGATGATCCATATATCTCTAGAGAAGAGTACCTGAATAAGGAGTCATTACAAAAACCCCAATCCACTAGCTCAGATCTAACCTTTTTCTTTTCCCATACATCTAGTAAAGGGACATGAGAGTGCCACCCAATAATGTTTGTCGGTCAGATTCCATCCCAACATGTCCACATTGATTCTTGTTTACACCCAAGAACCTTTCAATGACTTGATGAATTCAAATGAAACTTTCAATCACACAATAAAAAAATTTTTCTAGTTGGCCAACTGTGCCTGGATTTTTTGCTGATCCTGACACATTTTTTTTCTCCCCCTCTCCTAAGAAAGCCTACCTATCTACCCTAATTTGAAAACTAGAGCAATAGGAACACACATTTTTTTTGAGGGGGAGGTGCCTAATGCTTTATTAATAACCAGCAGCACAATTAAAATGCAAAATCAATCAGGAACCCTATCAGGGGTCTGCTTCTACTACCTTTATGCTGCCAGTGCATACAAATATTGTTTCTTGTGCATTGGCATAATTATCAAATATTATGACTGACATAAGTTCTACCAGAAGCAAATATAATGCTTTGAACCAGTCTAAATCTTGATCAATTCCAGCTGTGCCTACATTATCCATGAAAACTTGTTATACAAGGTAATTTATTCTAAACCAGCTTAACTGGTCTAGATCGATTGTCAACAGATCAAGGTCTATGCTGTTTTTTACTCACTGCACCGCCCGACCTAGCTGTTGGTAGTTTAAATTGCTTAATAAGTGAGTGTCTATGGTGCATGTCTGCATTCCCATGCTGACCTACAGGAACCACTGGAAGATGGAAAGTGAGGCGTCCCAAGAGCTGAAAACCCGTCATTAGGAAATGAGGAAGGGCTGATGAACTTCTTCCCTGGGCTTTTGTGACTTGCCCTTTTAAGGCCCAATTGCTAAAAAGGAGCTCTAAAATTGGTTTATTGATTTGACTGTGGTTGTGAGGCTTTAGAGAATTTAGTCACCAAATCATGTGGCTGGTCAGGATGTGTTGAGAGCAACTTATCTGTGAAAGTGGAAAACTCCACTGACAATGCCATGGACACATGCCAACAGATCAGCCTCTCTACCATGTGACCAAGATCCCAAAGTCCATGGCTTTATGCATGGAAAGAGCCAATCACTTCCTTTCTAGTAGAGATTTAGAATGGTCATTGGTAATGATGGATACTGATTGAATCCTCTTCACCAATATGAATCTAAAAAATGATTTCTAATCCCAACATTATGAAATGGAAGTCTGGAGAGAGGTGGGAGTGGAGAGTCTCTGGCAACTCAGATCTGAAGGAAGATCCTTCCCCATCTTTGAATGACTTAGATCTTCCCCTACAAGGGGCCATGATTCACTTTCAGCACAAACTAAGCTGCTGAGGGGGCTGGTGCATGACTCCCTCTCTGCCCTACTGGATCAAAAAAAATGTTCCTTCATGAGGGAAGTTAAAATTCAATTTGTCTATATGGAAACGAGAGGGTGCTGCTCATCCATCATGGGAAGACATGACTTGCTCTATATCCACATGGAGTGGATGGCGTGACTCAATCTCCACCTATTTATGACATTCCTTGTGAGGGAGTCCACTAATTGTAAGAGTCTCCAAAGAGACTCTGGTAATCCTTCTCAAAGCTTTGAAGGACCCAGAAAAAGAAAACCTGAAAATTTGGAGGAATATAAAGAAGCAACTTTCTTCTTTCTTGTATAATAGGTACTTTTATGCTGTATAAGATCCCAGACCTTGTACGACCATAGGCTGCAAAAGAGACAACCATCCATCCCCTCACAGCCTGTACAGACATGTGTCCCATGAGCTTTCCTGTGGCAGCTCCTACCCACACCAAGCTTAGATACTGTTGCAAAAAAAATACTAAAAAGAAAATTTAGTCAAAACACTTCTATGCAAGTAATGTACCTCATTATAATATGGAAGCCATAACTGCTGACCGCATTATTTACCAAACTGAAGCATATTAAAAATAATAATAAAATGTTGAGTGAGCTTGTGGTGGGGAAGGGGTAACCAAAATGCTAGTTAAATGTATCATTAGTTTATGTACATTATGTTTTTTTCACATTGCATTGTGGATATGTGAGAAAGCTTGCCAGTAGCTTCTCGTGGGTTGGTGGTTCTTTCCGGTGATTTCCCGGTTTCTTCCTCCACCATTAATACTGGCCGCCATGAATAGCCTATCGTGTGCTGAAAAATGGCGTTAAGCACAACAACAACAACAACAATCACATTGCATTGTATTTATATATTTAATTGTGTCTGATAAGAATATTTTAAAAATAAATAAAAATACCAAATTTTAAATTGCTTTCTTTCAACCCATATTGTCATACATATCAGTTTAGAGCATGAGATATGATACAGACAATTCATTTTAATAAATATATTAAATATTTATAATTAATAGTTATAATTTCTATCTACAGCTGCATCAAGCTTAAAGTGATTTAAAATGCTAGTCACTTGACAAAAAATGATTAAATTCAGTGACATCACATAATACATAGCAAGCTTTTAGCAATTCCACAACATCAAATAATAAAGAAACAAAGTGACAAACTTACTGTTGCATATATTTAATCTGCATTGTTTGTTAGAGTAATTTTATTCACTATATCCTATTTGTTATACAAAATATTATCTTTTATCTTGAAGTTGACCTTGTTAAAATAAAGTTCATTGTCTACCTGACCTTAATCATTTATTTTATTTTACTTATTTACATTTTTGAGTGTAGGATTCTTAGTCTGTGTCAAGATCATTATGTTTATCATGTTCTTTATTATAAATTTAGTGACAGAACTTGTCTAATTATAGCTTGGATATTTCTGGAAATGAACTTCTGTCCTTCATCCTGGCTCTTCTTTTGTGTTTAATGGAAAATTATTTATTCCTCCAATAATATCTGGGCAGAATTTTGATATGGGTTAAATTAATTATCATTTTCTGAAAATACAAAGTGCTTTAAAATATTCTTGAAAAGAGACATTAACTTGAAATTTTAGTGAATTTAAACAAGGAAACCTTGGATTATATATATCCTGTGATTCAGCAAGACTATCCGCACATGTTTACAATTAAAGCAATTGGTGTATTAGTACATTAGAAACTACTGGTCATTACAGGCAGATCAGCACCTTCAACATCGGAAATTATTGGTAATACCACTAAAGTTTATTCAGAAATTTTGACATGTCTTAGCAATTCTAGGATTATTTGAGATTTAATTTGTAATACTGTAAGTTATTTTTACATTTTCATTTTTTATTCTAGGAAATAAATTATTTGTTGAGTTTTACAAAACTTGTTGGTTTTTGTTCTTTTCTATTACTTTAAGACCACAGAGTCATAAAACTTTCATACATGTATACAATCCAGTTACCGCTCCGGTGGCCTAGTAGTTAGAGCATCTGCCTCAGATGTGGGAGGTCGTGGGTTTGATCCCCCGCCGAGTCATACTAAAGATTTACAAAAGTTTTACTAATATCTGCCTCGCTTGGCGCTCAGCTTTAAGAGGTTAGTGTTAGGACTGGTTCACCTGGTGTCAGGATAATGTGACTGGGTGGAACATCATGCTACATGTCTGCAGCATGATGCCACAGTGCTAAACATCACTATAAATTGCCACACTGCAGACATCGTAACAATATGACTGAGAAATTGATAAAGCTACATTAAAAATCTAAATCACACACACACAATCCAGTTAAAATATCCCAGTACTGTAGATCAGTTTTAGTCTCTTCTACATCCTTCCCTGATTCCCTAAAAAAATAACCCTTTTAAAAAAATCCATTCTGAATCCTTCAAAAACATAACCCTTTTTTTTAAAAAAATTCTCCCTGAAAACATCAAAAACAAACCTTTCACAAGTTTTTTTACTTTTTTTAATACTTTTTCCTGAACATCTCTGTTGCAAGATTATATTTCTTAATTAACTTGAAAATACTGATAATACTTAACTCACCTTTTAAATCTTATTTCACTTGCAAGAAACACTTACTGTTTGAACATATGGCTACATTATGCAAATGAACATCTATTTGACAGCTACGAGTACCTTTAAAAGATACAATAGTTGATAAGGACCCATTAAAATTATGGCTTTTTATTGAAATGTAATTTTGGGTCTGCAAAAGCCTCTTAGGAATACAATGTATTTTACCTTGCATAAATATATTATTGACTACATTATACATTATTGACTAGTTTGAATTAAACTGTGTAAAAAAATGTAATGTCCAATTCAAGTAGTTTTCATGTAATGGTTTCAGCTGATAAATGTTAAAAATAATTTTTTTTAAAATTATTTTTATAATTTTGATTTTGGAGTAAATAACATGCTGTATCTAGAATCATGTTATCATGAAACATGTTATAATTGGGGAGGGGGGAGCTGTATAAAGTGAAAAAATACAGTATATGGTCAAAGTCTATGCTAAAAAGCATTACAGCAAGAATTCATCTTACCTATGTGTTGTCACACAGAATTAAAACAATCAATGCAAAAAAAAAAAAGATAATGCTAAGCTGAATACAAGACTTAAACAAAAGCTAGAGATGATTAAATTAGTTTAAAAAAAAAACAAGCTGGCCAGATTGCAAACAATAAAGGGTAATATCAATGAAAACAATCCAATATTAATTTTGCAAATGAACTGGTGTTAACCAAATGCTCACTATTAAGGTAAATAGTGTTGTGAGACCTGCTTTTCCATGTACAAAAAAAAGCACCCAATTCACAATAAAGAAACTAAAGTTATATGAAATAATCAATAAAATAAATAAAAAGAGAGTCCAAAAACAGACTTAGGCAAGTATTGGGATATTTAATAAGATACCTACATTAGCTTGAAATTAATAGTAACGTATGCTAACACCCTTGTAAGTTGAGGAAAATAAAATGCAACGCAGACCACATTATCTACAACTGTAACAAAGTTAACAAACAATACTGCTGAAATAGGTTTCTTTAATGAAACAAATAAATACATACTAATATTGAAAAAAGTGTTTGACACTTTTGTTGTTGTTGTTGTTGTGGTGCTTAACACCATTTTTTAGCACACGATAGGCTATACATGGCGGCCAGTATTAATGGTGGAGAAAGAAACCGGGAAATCACCGGAAAGAACCACCGACCCACGAGAAGCTACTGGCAAGCTTTCCCACATATCCAAATTCGCCGAATCTTAGACTCAAACACACGCAGACAGCGGTGAGATGGCAGTGATCTGTAACGGACAGTGCTTTAGACCACTCGGCCACTCGGGGCCCCGTTTGACACTTTTGTTTCATTAAGATACTTATCCTTTTAACTGATTTTGGTATTCACAACTTCCATCACACTCCAGCTAACCGAAATGCATGTCAGTGGAACACAAAAACATGTCCATTTACTTGTGTGAAAATTTGAATTTATTAGAAAAAAGGCATCAAAGTAAAGTCAGACTGAAGCAATATGACCTTACTTTGTGAAAAAGTGTTGATATGTGCAGCCAAGTCTCGGGTATTCTTGAAAATTCTGCCTCTCATTCCTATATTGATTGACCAGGGAACATGTTACACAATGCCAATATTGAGGCGGTAAGACATTAAACCCAAAAACATAAATATCAATGGAGACATCATATACTTTAGCACTAAACAATGGGTAGTTTGAATTTATTTATCAATGTGTTACTTACATTGTAATATCACAACATGCAATATTCAGTCTGGATTGAACTGTATCACACCTTTAGGTTAATCTCATTCACAAATGTCTAGACCAACAAGTAGGTCTCCACTTTTTTTTTCTGACAGTGGTCGGCTGTCAGAAAATAAAAGCAGATACCTACATGTTGGTCTAACATATGTCCATATACTTTTCCATTGATTAAGTACTTCTCAGACCATGTAAATAATGACATTTCAGAAGATTTATCTGGATCAAAATTAAATTAATAACTGCCATGTAATGGTGTGTAGAATCGAATTCTAGAAAAAGTCAACCATTACTGAAATAGTTGGTGCTGAATGTCCACATGACCTTGTGACTTTTGCTTTGTATGATGATGCAATAGCAGTTAAGTAATGTGCGGTGATCAATGCAAGTCATGCCTTGTCCAGATTTTATCATTTTGTGCCAAGTTCCTCCCTTATAATTTCCGTAACACATACAATCATTATACCCTCCATTCTGCGTTCAATCTATTTAAGACCCAAATTCCTGACCCTCGTTTTGCTGTCTTAGTTGCACAATAGAAAACTCGCCATTAAAAGAGCGCAATCAAAGGTTAAAATTAAAAAAGGAACAACATAACATCATAATTATAAAATTTAAAAAAAAACGAAGTAAAAAAGAAAATAATCACTTAATTCTGATCTTACATGATCCATTTTGATTTTTTGTATGACGTTCTTCAGTATTAGTATCGCTTTGTTACAGGAACGCTTATATTTTACAATGATAAGCGTCTGTTGATCACGACCATCGCAATTACATAATTAGGGTCCCAATTGGATTTTTTTTTTTTTTTTTTTTTTTTTAATAGAACATAATGCCATTGTCTGGTGAAATAAATATGCTTTCTATTTATTTCAGCATGCGCGTCATATAGAACAAAGTCATATTTTCAATTAGACGCTAGAACCTGCTAGAACATGATTGAATTTAAGAAAGATAACTCTGAACTCTGTTAGAACTAAACAAGGGTAAGAGTTATCCAGTCGAAAAAACAAATGTGCTCGACGCGAGCTTGATGTTGGGCCTGCTCTATCATACTATATTAATATATTGTATGATATAGATTGTCCAACATCAAGATCGCGTCGAGCACCTTTGGTCAAAAACAGGTGCATTTATATCATATTTTTTAAATTCTAAAAAGTGAAAAGTATGATTAAATATGAATTATCATCTCAGATGTTGTCAAGAAACTCAACATATATTTTTATTCTGATACACTATAACTCTTTTGTAATGTACTAATCACAGCACGTTTTCTTGTTTATTTCCCTAAACGTTAAGCTCCGCCCACCTTGGGGTTGATACTGTTACGTAACAATGGCTCGTACTCAGTAACAAAAAAACAAAACAAAAAAAAAACAACAAGCTTTGTAAATTTTAACAAAACTATTTATTTCCCTAAACAACAATGTAAAATTGGTAAATAGGAATTACAGTTGATGAATATAATCCAAGTATGAGTTTAAGAGTAAAAACACAAGTCCTATAACTAAATAGTCTTATAAGAAACCAGGCTCGAGTCCCAACGACGTATGAATACGGAGGGCGATGACGTCAGATGTAGTCAAACATATTAATAACAATAATTCCTCACTTGAAACACAGTCTTTGCTTCCGAATAATTCCAGAATTAATTTCCTTGAATATTTTTCAGAATTTTTTTTATAAGAAAGTCAACTTTTTGAGTGTCTATGAAAATAAATTATTGAACCCAAACATCAGACGAAGAATAAAATATTATGGCAACAAATTTAAAATAAAAACATATATAAGCCTTGTTCCTTCAAGGTTTTGAATGACTCTGCGCAAGCAAATATTAAGAATGCGTATTTAACCTCGAAAATATCACTTCAAATCTCGCGAGATTGGTCATGTGGTCACTTAGTACGCTAGTTTTGTCACGTCGTCCAGAGAAGACCGACTTAAAAACCAATCATAAAAATAGGTTGTTTATAAACATTGATCACGAAAAGAAAGTATGTCCGTGATGCTGATCATTCATTTTAACTTCCTGTTGATTAGTTACCAAGGTTTGATGATCTAAATTCCAACCCTCACTTATTACTATTTCGTCTTAAATAAACACAAAGTTGTGCTAAAATTTTATCTCACTACTAAAATAGAATCCCGAATCTGACCAAAATATTCATTGCAATTAAATACAATGAAACAAAAATGAAATAAAAATAATTTTAAACCTTACACAAAAGCAATTTAATCACATGTACTTAACAGCACCGTCATACCATAAAGAACTGCAGGCCAATTCGAATCATGACAGATTCGGACAGTATCGTATTCAGCCACAAATTACACGCTGATTCGTATCTAGCTACGATGTCGTAGCCACGAGTACTAAGGGTACTAATATTAGTTATAATTCGTATCATGTGAAATATTAAAAGAAAAACAATGGAACACACGTACCTGTTTTATTTATGTCATTATTAACGATTTCGCCAGCATTGCAAGAGGATATTAAAAGAACAATTTAAGCTTTTAAACTTACATCTTATTTAATTCTTAGCAAATTTCTCCGAAATTGCTATCTTTGGATCGTTATCTTTTGAGTGCGATCTCGAACCATTAGACCGGCTTATGTTTAATTAGCGTTGAAACGTTTGAAAATATTTAATTTAAAATACATAAGAAATCAGTTAAATATTGATTTCTGAATATATATATATATATATATATATATATATATATATATATATATACTTAA